TGTCCTTTATCGCGTATTTCCTCCTCACCCTCAGTTTTTCTCACCCCTCTTTCGAAAACCTCGTAGGTCAGCGCTTGCCACACGGACCACCCTTAATTTTCACTTTCTACGGCGACGTGTTGTCAAAATATTCCCACTTCGATTTAATTTTGCACGTCGATAACAAAAGTCAGCACGTTATTAACGACTTTTTTTCGATTTATAAAGCACTAGTGACGATTTTTAACCACGACACGTGGCATAGTACCGTGGTACGACGATTGACAAGCGCGAGTTGTGTCAATGTGGTGTACTTTGACAACCCTCTGCGATTTTCGTCGTTTATTCAGCACGATAAGAATGTCAATTTCGGTGACATTGTGATATTTTTGACGGGTAGTACTTCGCTTGGCACGCTTGGTGCAAATTACCACGCTATGCCGAATTTGAGTAAGTGTGGAAGGGTACTAGTTATTAATTATTGTAGCGGGGTGGAAGTGTATACGATCGAATTTTACAAAGGTAGTGAAAGCGGGGTACTACTACTACTCGAAAAAATAGAGCATGGGAAAAACACGCAACTGTCGGACGAATTCATGCCTAAGAAATTTGACAACTTTAATGGTCATTTGCTCCGGGTTGTCTACATCGATTACTATCCGTATGTCTACTGTGTGGAGAAAATCGTCGTGAATGGTACTACCGTCTGCACGAACGCGATCGGTTCGGAATACGAACTACTCAAAAGCTTGAGTGACAGTTTAAACTTCACGTATTTGTTAATTGAGGCTTCTAATTCGTCATACGACAGTTTATTCGGTGGACTTATTTCCGAACAGTACGACTTTGGCATTGGAGGGTTGTCAGTAACCACTCACCGTCTGGAAATTTTCCAATTCAGCAGTGTAATAAAGTTTGAAGACGTGGCATTCATGTTTCACAACACACACCCACTTCTACAAGGAACGTCATTCTTTAAAATGATCTCCACAGAACTGCAAGCCCTCATCTTACTCACGCAAGTCATAATCACGCTATTTCTCTACTGGGTGATCAAATGCAACAGCACCTTGACAATCAGCTTTGTCAAAATCTTCGAAGCTTTTTTCAGAGTTTGTTTTGAGCAACCAGTGAAACTCAAGACGATTTTGTCGGAAAATAGACCATTCTCGGTCTACATCGTATGGATAAGTTGGTGCGTTTTTTTCGCTGTCGTCAATGTAACGATCCGGTCGAAATTAACGTCAATTTTGATACACAAACCCAAAGTTGACATAACCCTCACCAAGTTACTCACGGATGGACGAAACTTGGTCGCGGATCACGCCCTATCCAAAACCTACTTGGATTTGTTCCTCGACGAAGAAAAATCCTTGATTGTCAAGTACTACCATCGACTTTGTCGACTCTGTTTTGTACTTCCTTTTCAGATATCCGCTTGTGCAAGCCAAAAACATCTGCGCCGTTCGCCGGTACGTCAAAGACAACGGCGGAATCGTCGTTGGAGAATTGTCAAGACACATGTTCCACACGTCGCTAGTTTGTGCCAGTTTGGACACAAACCTCGCCACGTTTAGCCGCCATATGCACGTTCAGCAGTTTCAAGTGACGCCGTTCGCGTGGCCGTTCAAAATCAGGGCTCCGTTCGTCAACGCGTTCAGTACCCGCATCAAGCGTACCATCGCTGGTAAAAAAAGGACTTTTTTGAGCACCAATGCAGATTTTCTTCCAGGTGGGTTCAGCAAAATCTGGCGAAAAAAAGTCCTGCTTGAGAAAAATTTGTACAGAGTTTCGGGCGAAGTTCTTAACGAAGTACCTATATCTGTTGACTTTGCCGCCTTCGCTGTGCAGATGATGATGTTTTTGATCATGGTGGCTGTGTGCACGGGGTGTTTCGTAGTTGAGCTCGTGTACTACCATTGGCAGAAAAGGAAGCAGTCGTCACGTGGTTGTGGTTATTTTTATTTTTAGATATGTTTACTTTGTTATTTTCTGAAATTAATAAAAGCATAATTTTGATTATTATTTTTCCTACTCTTCATTCCAGTGATTACTCTTAATATTGTTCACTTCTATCTTAGCAAGTTTTAGTCCCACCCACCCTTTTACCCAATATTGCAAATCAACTTTAAACACCTACCTTGTTAATTAAAGAAGAGTGTTCGGATGAGGAGACGTAGCACAATTAAACAGTTCAAACGATTCTATGACGTTCAGGATTTATTGCGCTAGCCTTCTCATCCAAACACTCAGTTATATATTTTGATTAAAAATTTGTTATACTTATCATAACTTTAAAACATCTTTAAGATTTGAAAGCTTTCGGTTTTGCAGATTCAAACTTAAATTTTAAAATGCTGGTTCACAATTTTGATTTTTTTCCAAGAATCTGGAAGTTTCGGGTAAAAACTCAACAGGGAGTCATAAAATACATGTGTAGGACTATCTTATTTCATACAATTTTAAACCCATTTAGTAGGTGTAATTTTATAATGACGTCATCACATTATAGGTGGGGATAATACATATACCATATACATGATATTCCTAATATAAATACAAATTTTGACAACAATTGGCTCACTACTTTCGGAGATGACCTATCTAATAAAAATCCGGGACGGCAGACAGACAGACGGACAGACAGACGGAAACGGGAGACTTATTTCTTCGCACTCTAGGGTCATGAAAGGTCGAGAAAACGTAAAAGTCAGCCGACGCTCGGGGAGTACAAAATTAATAAACCGTTTAAAAATAAATCACTCCAATACATTAAACCCCAGACAAAATCCGATGGGCGAAATTTCCCCTGATTGAATGCATTTTTTCACCCTCTGGGACAACGCCACCACCAAGACAATTTAGCGACCCAGACGACTTCTACTCCACAAAATTGATTTTTTCCATAATGCATACAAAAATAATGACGATTGTAATTGCAGATAACATGTAAATGACTCATGGGTCCTACAGTAATCAGACCGATATGCTGTTCGTAACATGTCTATTCCCACTAACTTTTATTTCAGCAGCCAATTTATCAAAGTTTAGTCTAGAGTCGGCACCCCCGCCCAAAAATTACAACTTCACGGTCAAATTTTTAAGAAAATACGAACGCTTAAAGTACGACTTGATCCTCCACGTTAATAACATCACGAAGCACAATGCGAACCGATTTCTCTCGTTGCATCCGATGCAAGTGACCATTTTCAACCACGAGACGACGACCGAGGCCATCGCTAGACCCGAGTACCTCAAATGCGTGAATGTGGTAGCTTTCCATAAACCGTTAGAGTTTTCGAGGTACTCAAGCACGAAAAACAACATCCTGGCTAGTGATATTGTAGTACTCGTAACGTACCCGTCAACGATCGACGAATTACGAAACAACTATCAAACCATACCCAATTTGAGTAAAGCAGGCCGGATTCTAGTTTTCAACTACGGCGACATTGTCGTCGACGCCTACGTTCTATGCTTCTACTGCGGACCAAGTACCGGGTTTAGACACCTACGCGCAATGAAGTACTCGCAGCTGCTAGTTGAAAACAAGTACCTAGTTGTTAGCAGTTTCGACAATTTCATCGGCCACGTACTCAAAGTTGCATACATCGACTATTTCCCGTACGTTTTTTGCACCCACAAGACGACAATTGATAATAGTACCAGTTGCACGAAGGCGCAAGGTGCAGACTTTGAACTCCTCACGACTTTGACACGCCGGTTAAATTTCAACGTCGAACTTATCGAAGTACCGGGACGTTCCTACGACGATTTGTTCGACGGTTTGAAAGGGGAAAAGTACGACCTTGCTATCGGCGGCTTGTCAATGACTAACCCCCGGCGACAAGTTCTACAATTCAGCGATGTTCTCAAGTTTGAAAAAATCATATTCGGGTACGTTTATCAAACTTCGTTTTTGAAGAAAGTGGTCGGGGTGTTTTCGGTGAGTGGTAGCGTCGTCGGCATTGTCATCGCGTGCATTGGCACACTATCAATAGCAATGTATTTGATTGGTAGTTGTATCAATCGTGATAAGTACGTACCGTTGACGAGGATTTGTACGGTACGTAGCTAGGTGTGGTGACGTAGTACCGTGTTATTTTTGTTGTTTCAGTCGCTTTTGAAAGTTTCTTGTGAGCAGTCAATTGTCATCCCAAGTCACACAAAATCCACGATTTGTCTTTTTTTCGTCACGTGGTGGCTTTTCACCATGATTTTCAACACAATTCTCAAATCGGGTTTAATCGCCTCTATGATAAACCCCCGTCGTACTGAAGTCGCATTTTCGCAACTCATCGACGAGGGTTACAAAGTAGTACTAGACCACGCTATGACAGACAGTTATTTAAGTGGATTTTCAAACGAAGAACAGTCATACATCACTCGGTACTACCCACCTATCAAATCAAAACCCTATCAAACTAAGTATTTCGCAGACCATCAACAATTTGGACCAGCGACACGTGCGAAGTACTACACTATGTCAAAACCGAAAAAGTGGTCATGATTGGAGAAGTATCACGGAACTTGTTCCATTCTAAAATATTTTGTTCCAATGAGAGTGGTTCGAAATTGTCTAGTGGTACCATTCGGAGGACGCCGCATGCGTGGCCGTTCAAATTCGGGGCTCCGTTTGTGGGTACTTTCAACAAACACATCAAGGAGGCGATGAGTGGTACTCGCTTGGTTTGACCAAACAAGATTGATAGTTTAGTGGTTGCAGGAGGATTGATACAGTTTTGGCGACACAGGGCTTTATTGAAGACAAAATTTAACTTGTACTCAGACGAAGCAGGCGATGAAAAAGTGACTTTTGATGCCTTCGTTGCCTACTTTGTCATATACGTGGTACTAATCTCAGTGGCAGTTTTATGTTTCTGGGGGGAAATTTTTTATCACCGTATTTGCATAGTAAAGTACAGTGATAAAAAGTGATAAAAACCGAATATATTAAACATGTAACTGCGCACAATAGTACCGCATTAGCATAGTTTTATTGTCGTACTGGCCTTAATATTTTCCACTAGTACGATGTCGCACCAAGACAACAACTACAACCTGGATTTAAAGCCACCGTCGCCCGAAATCCTCCAATGGGCTAAAGAAAACATAGGTGAAGACCCGGAAACCAGGAACGAGGTTATTTCAAAACTAAGAAACATCATTTTTGGTAAGTTTGCCTAATAGTGACTGAGTACTGAGAAGGTACTTTCAGAGAGACAGGAATGCACACCGCATCGTACCGACGACGTGTTCCTTCTTCGTTTCTTGAGGTCTTGTAAATTCGACCCGGAAGCTACCCACTCTTTGGTATTACGTATTTATGGTACTACTTTAACCATCACTAAAGATTTGTTAGATCGTAGAGTACTACAACTTTAAGAAAAACAATCCGCAGTTTTTTGTGAACGTGAATCTGGAAAAATTGACTGGGTTGTTAACCGATGGGGTTATTTCAACGCCACCGTACTACGAAGGGTCCGGCAGGAGAATGGTGATCCACAGAATGGGTAAATGGGATCCGGAAAAGTACTCTTTGGATGAAGTTTATCAATTCAATATAGCTATAATGGAAATGGGGATACTGGAACCACAGGGACAAATTCTAGGCAGCATTGCCATCTTCGACTTTGAGGATTATTCTCTTCAGCAGGCGTGGTACTTCACACCCAGCTACGCCTACAAATCAATACAAATCCTGACGGTACTATTTTCAACCAATTTGATTCTTACATCCCACGATTTTTTTTTTCCAGAAAGCATTCCCTATGAAGGTCCACGCCATACATATCGTCAACGAGTCTTACATTTTTGACATTATATTCAACGTGGTCAAACCTTTCTTGAGTACCTCGGTTCTGGAAAAAATATTTTTCCATGGAAGCGATTTGGAAAGTCTTCACAAGCACATAGCACCTGAGTATTTACCCCCTAGGTATGGAGGGACACGACCTCAACACAGCATCGAGAACTGGATTTCCATCTGGAGAAACAATCAAGTCGTTTTTCAAGAATTGAAAGATCTTGGATACGAATTCTCCGAAAATGAAGACGCTAATGATGTTTAAATAAGTTAGTTGGGTCAATAAAGTTGGATTAAATCTTGCTGCGTCATTGAATTTTATTGGAAGCTAGGAAAACCCTCCGAGTCTCAGTGTGGTTGCAATGTTCACCAAAACGCGTCACTTGTGTTTCGTATTTTTTTCCCTTGCTGCATGTACACTTTTTGACTTTACCCCAAAAAACGTTTCTTTGAAGACACATTTTGTCAACAAACTCTTACACAAATACCAGACTTTCCAAATAATTTTCCACGTCGATAACTTTTCGCAACGCTATGTCAACAACTTTGACGAAATACAGCCACTCCCTATCGTCATCTATAACCACTACACAGCCCCAAACACCTCTTTCAAGCGCCCCTTTCTCCAAAAATGTCTCCATTTCGTCAGCTTGAGAAACCCAAACCTATTTTCAACCTACCTGCAACACAAACGTACCGTTTTTGAACGAGATATCGTCATTTTTTTGGTTGACTACACCAAAGTGACAACTTTTTCCAAAAAGTACTGGCTTATGCCCCGTCTAGAACGCGCCGGAAGCATTTTGGTCATCGACTTGACCCAAGAAAGTTCTTTCGACGTCTACAAACTCTGTTTCTTTTGTGGCCAAATCACCGGACAGATCCTTCTAGTCAAAACTATCAACGCAACAGATTTAGACCTCCCAGCAAAAATTTTGTTCTCGAGACAATTCAACAACTTCTATGGACATGAAATGCGAGTGGCTTATAGCACTTACTATCCGTATTTTTTTTGTTCTAAGAAGGTGAAGAGTAAGTGTGAAGAGTTTTCTGGGATCGAGCTCGAAATGTTGAAGATGTTGGGTCACAAAATGAACTTCACTTTCACTCTTTTTGAAACCAGGAACGACATGGAGGTACTATTTGAGGGATTGATGTCACACAAATACGATTTTGCGATTGGAGGGTTGTCGATGACGCCACAGCGCTTTGATGTTGTTCAGTACAGCACTCCGCTCTTCATTGAAACTATAGTAGCGATGTTTACCTACAATTCGAGTTATACTTTTGCGGCAATTTCTTTGTTTCTTCCGTTTCCGGCGACAGTATGGATTGGGATTGTTGTCGTGTTACTTGGAATGGCCGTCATTGTCTATTTAATGAGTAAAGTTTACGACGACGTAGATAACGTACTGGCGTTGAAGATTCTAAAGGTACTATGGTAACTATGTCAAAAAAAGTGAAAATGTTTTTGATCATTTCAGACGTGTCTTAAAGCCTTGATCGAACAACCAACTAACCTCAAACTATCGTCACGCCACTTTCGATTCGTCCTAATGTTTCTCCTTTCAAGCTGGTTCCTCTTCTGTTTCTTGATCAACGCCGGCTACAAATCGCGATTGTCCTCTCTTCTGGTCCATCCTCCACTACAGCGACGCCCGAATCTCAGAGACGTCATTGAAGACGGGTACGACGTGATTGTGGACAAAACTCACCAAGTTTTGGCTCCTGGACTGCAAGATAGGTTGAACAAGTCTGGGTACGTTGCTCTAGATGGTGGTACTATGGATTGATAATTTTTTGTAGACGTTTGGTCGTGCAGCCTAGTATGTGTCGTTCGATTGAGTACTACAGGAGACATAAGTCCGTTTTGATTAAAGATGCCTCGCTTATTTTTTTTCATTCAAGATATTTTTGTGAACTTGATCGCAGACCGGCTAGTGGGATGCCTAAATTGGGGTTCATTCCTTTGGCTAAAGCTGTGTATGGGTGGCCGTTCAAACTGGGGAGTCCATTTGTGCCGAGTATTAATAAAAATTTGAAGTGGATCTTGTCAGGTGAGTAAATTTATTTTTTTTTTGTAAGGTCAGGTCAGGTGGTGATTTTGAAAAAATGTAGAAATTTTTTGGTGGTTCAAAATCTCTTTAATTAATTTTCTAAAGCGGTGGAAAAAGTGTCAAATTTTTTTAAAACTCCAGCTGATATAGTAATTTTGGCAGAATAAAAAAACTCAAAATTTTCGCAAGAGAATTGAAAAACTGGAAAATTTGTCAAAAATCCAGAAAAAGATCTTGACATACCGTTTATTTTAAAAATTCAAAACACAGTTAAATTTCATCTTAGGTAATTTTCGAAAGTGGTCGAAAAAGTTGCAACTTTTCTATATTGTGAAATTGAAATTTTTAAAAAGGGGTCAAAAAATCCGCAAAAATTCGACGTGTTGATTCCAAAAATGGGACGTGTTTATGGTCCCGGAACAAGATCATAGAAATATTTGGTTGAAAATTCAGTTTTTAGAAATTTCAGAAAAATTTAGGTGGTCAAAATTGATCAAAAAGAGTCAAAATTTTCAAAATGGATTATTGAAAAATTGAATTTTTTGAAAATCTTGCCAAAAAACTCAAAAAAAAACCTAACATAGATTTTGAAGTACCGATTTCAAAAATAGAAGTGTTTATGGTCCCGGAGCAAGGTTTTAAAAAAACTAGATTCAAACGTTGTCTGAAAATCCACAAAAAAATGTGCAACATAAATCTCGCCGTGCTGATTCCAAAAATATAGCGTACTTATAGTACCGGAGCAAGATTGTGGAAAAATTCGATACAAGTCTAAACCTATGATAAAATAATAAAAATTACAAAAAGGACAAAAAGGATAAAAAGAGACAAAAAGGATAAAAAGGATAAAAAGGATAAAAAGGACAAAAAGGATAAAATGGATGAAAACTATGAAAAGGATGAAAAGGATGAAAAGGATGAAAAGGATGGAAAGGATGAAAAGGATAAAAGGGATGAAAGGGATGAAAAAGATGAAAAGGATGAAAAGGTCTAAAAAGACAGAAAGGACAAAATGGGCAAAAAGGACAAAACGGACAAAAAAGACGAAAAAGACGAAAAGAACGAACGACGACGAACGAGGACGAACGAGGACGAACGAAGACGAACGAGGACGAACGAGGACGAACGAGAACGAACGAGGACGAAAAGGACGAATTAGGACGAATAAGGACGAAAAAGGTCGAAGAAGGACGAAGAAGGACAAAAAAAAACGACAAAGGACGAAAAAGGACAACAAAGGACGAAAAAGGATGACAAAGGACGACAAAGGACGAAAAAGGACGAAGAAGGACGAAAAAGGACGGAAAAGGACCCAAAGGACCAAAAGGACCAAAAAAACCAAAAAGACCAAAAGGACGAAAAACACCAAAAAGGACGAAAAGTACCAAAAGGACGAAAAGGGCGAAAAGGTCGAAAAGGTCGAAAAGATCCAAAAGGACCAAAAGGACGAAAAGGACGAAAAGGACGAAAAGGACCCAAAGGACCCAAGGGACCCAAAGGACCGAAAGGACCGAAAGGACCGAAAGGGCGAAAAGGACCAAAAAGACCAAAAGGACGAGGAGGACGAGAAGGACGAAAAGGACCAATAAGACGAAAAGAACGAAAAGGACCATAAGGACGAAAAGGACGAAAAGGACGAAGAGGGCGAAAAGGAACAAAAGAACCAAAAAGACGAAACGGACGAAAAGGACGACATGGACGAAAAGGACGAAAAAAGACGACAAAGAACAAAAAACAACAACAAAGGACGAAAAAGGACGTAAAAGTACGAAAAAGGACTAAAAAGGATCAAAAGGACCCAAAGGACCCATAGGACCCAAAGAACCAGAAGGACTAAAAGAACCAAAAAGACCAAAAGGACAAAAAACACGAAAAGGACGAAAAGCACCAAAAAGACCAAGAGCACTGAAAGCACCAAAGGCACCAAAAGCACCAAAAGCACCAAAAGCAGCAGAAGTAGGGAAAGGACGAACGATGACAAACGAGGACGAACGAGGACGAAAGAGGATGAAAAGGGCGAAAGGGACGAAAAGGACGAAAAGTACGAAAAAGACGAAAAGGGCGAAAATGTCGAAAAGATCGAAAAGGACCAAAAGGACCAAAAAGACCAAAAGGACGAAAAAGAGCCAAAGGACCCAAAAGGATCCAAGGGACCCAAAAGACCGAAAGGACCGAAAGGACGAAAAGGACCAAAAAGACCAAAAGGACCAAAAGGACGAAAAGTACGAAGAGGGCGAAAAGGAACAAAAGGACCAAAATTATCAAAAAAACGAAAAGGACGAAACGGACCAAAAGTACCAAAAGTACCAAAAAAACGAAAAGGACGAAAAGGACCAAAAGGACCAAAAGAACGAAAAGGACCAAAAAGACCAAAAGGACCAAAAGGACGAAAAGGACGAAAAGAACGGAAAAGGACGAAAAGGACAAAAAGGAGCAAAAGGACCAAAAGGACGAAACAGACGTAAAGTACGAAACGGACGAAAAAGACGAAAAGGTCGAAAGAGGACGAAAAGGACGAAAAGGACGAATGAGGACGAACGAGAACAAACGAGGACGAACGAGGATGAAAAGGAGGAAGAAGGGCGAAGAAGGACGAAAAGGACGAAGAAGGACAAAGAAGGACAAATAAGGCGAATAAGGACGACAAAGGACGATGAAAGACGAAAAAGGACGAAGAAGGACGAAAAAGGACGACAAAGGATGGAAAAGGACGAAAAAGGACAAAAAAGGACGAGAAAGGACGAAAAAGGACGTAAAAGGACCGATAAGGACGAAAAAGGACGAAAAGGACGAAAACGACCCAAAGGACCTAAAGAACCAAAAGGACCAAAAGGACTAAAAAGACCAAAAGGACCAAAAGGATCAAGAGGACTAAAAGAACGAAACGGATCAAAAGCACCAAAAGGACGAAAAGCACCAAAAGCATCAAAAGCACCAAAAGTAAAAAAGGACGAACAAGGACGAACAAGGACGAATGAGGACGAAAAGGACCCAAAGGACCAAAAGGACCATAAGGACCAAAAGGACCAAAAGGATCAAAAGGACGAAAAGGATCAAAAGTACCAAAAGGACCAAAAGGGTGAAGAGGATCAAAAGGACCCAAAGGACCGAAAGGACCAAAAGGACCAAATGGACTAAAAGGACCAAAAGGATGAAAAGGACGAAAAGGACCCAAACGACCCAAGGGACCCATAGGACCGAAAGGACCGAAAGGACGAAAAGGACGAAAAG